ATTAAACATGCCTAGTTCTTGAGTTAGGTTTATGGAGTGAAGAGAGCTATATGTCAAAAGAGAATCAATATCTAGAATAAGCAAAGAACTAAAAAAATTAAAAAAGAAATCAAACAACCCAATCAGTAAAGAGGTGAAATACTGAGGCTGGAGAGATGACTCAGTCAGTAAAGTGTTTAAGTACCTGAACTCAGAACCTTAGCACCCAAGTGTAGAGTTGGATGCACTGTGCACACCTGTAATCCCTATGCTGGAAGACAGACAAGAGGATCCCTAAGGCTTGCTGGCCAGCCAGTCTAGTCAAACTGTGATCTCCAAGTTCAAAAAATAAGGTGGATACCTGACATGAACCTCTGGCTTGCACATGCACACACAGAAGATGAATACAAATGGCCAACAAATTTATTAAAAAATGCTGAACCTCACTAGCTACCAGAGAAATGCAAATCAAAACTACATTGGGAGCCCATCTTACCCTAGTCAGAATGGCAGCCATTAAGAAAACAAGTCATGGGCATTGGAGAGATGGCTCAGCAGTTAAGAGCACTTGCTGCTCTTGCAGAGGACCCAGGTTCAGTTCCCAACATCTACATGGTGGTTCACAAATTTATGTAATTCCAGTTTCAGAGGATCCACCCCCCTCTTCTGGTCTCCATGGGTACTGCATGCACATGATGCAAAAAAAAAAAAAAAAAAAAAAAAAAAAAACCACTCATACACATAAAATTAAAAAAAAAAATTTTTTTTAAAGAATGAAAATATATCTTTAAGCCTATTTAGTTGAAACATGAAGCCTGGGATTTAGGTTCAGGTTACTTTGCTTTAGGCCCAAACTGCCTCCCCAAAACGCACCAGAACCTAGACTCCAGGCTTTATATTAAAATATACATAACCATCTGCCACCAGTCCACCCTTAGGCAAAAGTCTCCCATACTAAGTTCATACAAGCAGTAGAAATGTCTAGAATTAGTAGGCCCATATTGTAAACACAAGACTCCTAGCAGTAAGGCAGTCAGACAGCTTCAAGCCAAGACTTTTCCTGTCACTATAGAAGGCCAGCCATATGCTGATTCTTCCATTTGTTTCTTTCAAATGGTATTTTATGAAATTAATAGGTGACCCATACTCTGACAAAGTCATATAATTAAGTTTGGGAGATGCAGGCACAAACCCACTTGAATGGGCTTCTCTCCTGGGAGATGTTTCAGAGTGCTTGACATGACACAGCATCTGTTGTGCTGATTCCCCAAGGCAGGAGCCTGCAGCTGTCTGTCTGTGTGGTGAGGCATCTCCATTTTCCCTCATCATTCCTCTCAAATGTTTTCTTCCATCCTGGTCCTCACTTGAAAATGTATCTTAATTGTACCAGTGGTAGAATCTTTCCTGGCGGTACCGAGAGCTGCAAGGTCATGCCTCCGCCATGTCAGCACCTACCTACAGGAGCCTTTATTCATCTATTCTACAAACTCACTGAGTGCTGTACTAGGTGCTGAGGCTTTAAACTAGAGACTCTGTCATCACATGGCTATACTTCTACACTTAAATCTCTTAAACCTGAGCTGACATCCAAACTCCTCACTATGGGAACTTGGAGCTCCTGACACCACTGTCATCCTTTCCTACTCACTCTGTCTTCCAGCTCTGGACATGCTCCTCCTTTCTCACTGTCTCTCCTACTTGACCAGCTTCTGCCCTCTAATGTCTGTGTGAGGTGTGAGCTGTCTTCTGCTGGAAGCCCCCCTTGCTGCAGTGCACATGAGCTTGCCCCTCTGGCTTGGCCCCTTTCTCAGACCTCCGTCACTCCCATGCCATCATCCCCTTTCTAGCACCTCACACTGCCTGAGGAAATGCTGCCTTTGTTCCCTTGCATATTGCTATTTTTCATCTGCTTCAGACTGCAGACTTCATTAGGATAGGGATTTGATGACCTTGTATGCCAATCTGATGATGTCGAAGGGCATGCTCAAAGATGTGAGGAGGAATGGATGCTCTGCTGGAGCTCACAAATCTCTGGATGTGGTCAACAGTAAAAACCCACAGTGAGGTCTGGACCTGCCAGGTGGAAGCCTGAGAGGAAACTTCCCAAAAGTCATGGCTGAGTGGAAATTTGGGGGTTAAATAGAATTAACACAAGTGATGAGGAGTCAGGTGGGAGGCAGGCTCTCTGCTGAGTCCTCCAGGAAGGCAGGCACTTGGGGACAACTTGGAGTTCATTAAGCAGCAGTAAGAGGAT